TACCACACACCCTTAACCCCGGCATCCCACACCTAGATCCAGCCAGCTCCCAAAATCCTCACCTATGAGCCCACGAGGCTTTGGGGGACATTTATGGACAACGCTACCTCAGCAGGAGGTGAGCATGAATTAGAGAAAGTAGAGGTGCAGCTCAGGACACATACAGCAGCTGTCCCTGGCCTCCAGGAAGGTGGACACTCCAGACTGCCCATGAGGTATGGCTGCACACACAGTCAGCGTGGGCATGAGCAGGCACACAAGGAGAGCACCGCATGAGTCTGGTCCTCACAGAACTCACCAAGGCACACAGCCGTGTCCGCCAAGTGACACCCTCAAAGTCCTTGCCCGCGGGGACTGTGGAAGCATTTTTGTTTCACACCAATAATCAACACTGTGGGTTTTTGATTTTTGTATCTTAATGAATCAAATTTTCTAAACACCCCTATAGCATTAGTGTAATAAATGTTTGTGAAAGAACTATATGATTTTTCTGTAATATAAAGTGACAGTGTAATACAAAGTGGCTGATAATTTAGTATTCACTATTAAATAAATGCTGCCAAGTGTTCTGGTCTATGTTTCATATGAGTACACATTTGTACCGCATAATGGTCATGCGTCTCCCAGGCAGTTGGCACATGGACCCCGCACAACTCCTGGTTGTCTGTCTCCCACTCGCTCCCTCATCCCTTCTTCCATCTCTTGACCCCCTTTCTATTTGGAAAAGATCTATCTCCGTGTTTCCTACTGTCTATCTTTTATTTGACCCTGTCATTCATTTATACCTTTGGTTTCTTAAACTAGAGAAACCACGCAATAGTTAAGCTTGTAAGTCTGTTTTTTTTCCTTACCTTCTCAGGGTGTATCGGTTTTCTTACCAATGACAAGAGTTTACCCTTTTTATGGCACAGTAGTACTTCATTGTACTTAATGCCACAATTTCTTTCTGCTGATAGATAGGAAAACTGCCTCCAAGGTTTGTTCTGCTACAAACACGGGTGTGCATGGAGCCCTGTACTGTGGTGTCTTCAACTCTTTCCACAGATACCTAGAAGGACTCTCCATACTGATTTCCACAGTGGCTGTGCTAATTTACATTACCACCTACAGTGTGGGGGGCTCCTTCCCCTTCATCCTTGCCAGCACTAGTTATTATGTGAGTTCTTGATAACAGCCATTCTTTCAGGGTAAGACAGAACCTCGGTGTAGTTTTAATTTGCATTTCTTTGATATCAGCAGTGGTGGAGATTTTTCCTGTATGTCTCTGACAACTGTACTTCAGAAAGTGCTTGTTCTGTTCAGTTGCCCATTGGCTGACAGCGTCGTTTATTTTAAAGAGTCTGACTTTTTTGAGTACTTTGTAAACTCTAAATATTGGCCTTTTGCCCAAGGAATAACTAGCAATATTGTTTTCCTATTCCATAGGTTGTCTCTTCACTTGTATTTCCTTTGCAATATGGAAGCTTTTTAATTTGATATGGTTCCATTTGTTTTTTCTTGATATTATTTCTGTGAAATTGGGGTTCTAATCATAAGGTGCTTTCCTATACCAATGTCTTCAAGAGTTTTACCCATATTCTCTTCAGCAGATTGTTTCTGCTTTAGAGTTTAGACCTTTGATTTGTTTTTAATTTCATATATGGGAGACACATGGGCCTGGATTCCCTCTTCTGCCTGTGAATGACGAACCTTGTCAGTGCAGTGGGGCTTTGGCTCATCAACTCCATGCCCTCCACAGTCTGGGTCACAGACAGAGCTGCAAGAACTGATTCACCTTTCCCCATAAGGTCAAAATGAACCTGGCCATTGAATGGGATTTGGTTCCTGTGCAACTCAGTGTGTGATCACACATGTGTATAAGAGGTCATTTTCTTACACTGTCGCTAATGCTGGGTTTCCTGTTTGAGCTTGGCCTCACTGGCTACAATCCTCATGCAGCTTTGCTGAAATCCTTTCACCGAGGACCAGCAAGGCTCGTCTGTGAGCCTTGGCTTCCTGATAACCCATAGCCCACTGGAACCCAGCACAGCCCTCTGCACCTGCAGCTCTGGGCTTTCCCGCCTGCTGAGCTCTCCTGACCCATTCGTCTTCACAGTTATCAATATGCAAATGACAGCCCTGCTGTTTGTTGACTCAAACAGTCAAAATAAGCAGAATGGAAAACTGCAGTATTTAAATTTGTTCATTTTATTTCATGGAGCTCACTTTGAATTTTAATGGTCACCAAAAGTAGAAGGGTAAAAATGACAACAGGCTTGCGATTTAATTAACTTTGTTTTACGGCTAAAATGAAGGATTCATCCAGTTTCCTTTTCATAAATATGCAGAGAAGATTATGCAATGGTGCTTGGCTTTCTCATGTCTTTAAATCCTCCCTGTTTTCCTGTTATTCTGAGCCAGGTGCAAAGGGACTTGGAGTTAGAGTCAGTCTTGTTCTCGCAGTTCTCATCCTTGGAGGGAAGGAAAAGTATAAACTTTATAAAAGTATAAAGTATTCATTGTCTCTGTGTTGACTCTGCACTGGGCTTTCGTGCCTCTCTAAGGACTGTGAGAGTCACAGTGGTTCAGTTGTTCCCACCCAATGCTGTGCGGTCTCTGACACCTGTTATTCCTCAGCAGCATCCTGGCAAACTCAAGCCTGGGTCTTGGTTTTTAATTCGAGATCCTCTTTGACCTTTCCCCTCCTCTTCCCTGATGCTTTTTATACTGAAATGTGCAGAAGGAGAGAAGGAGTGCTGGGCCTCCTATTGCTGTCTCATGTGGCTTGGGTGGATGTGCGCAGTGTGCTTTCCTGACCTCCTGGGGACCCAGCCAGGAGCCACAATTGCCTGTGCTAAGGATAAACTAGGACAAAGATGAATTTAGTACCACAGAATGTGACAGGAAGTTCGTGTCTCCAGATGGCCAAGAGGTCGACACTTGAGAGCCATTGTTTATTGAGCTCATACAGTGATAGGCAAGGCCAGCAGAAGATTCAAGGTTGGCAGGTGACTCAGAGGCCTGAGACTCAGTGGGCAGTACAATCCTGGAATGACTCCAGGGGGGTGGAGACAGTCTTAAGCTAAGAAGGACCTTGCGTGGGGGGGTGGTTTGTAGACTTAGTGGTCCTAGTTTTGGTCATGGTGGGTGGGAGAAGATGGCCTATCCCTAAAGAGTTAGTGGGAAATCTCCAATGGGTGGTACTTTGGTCCCAAGCCTCCACTTTAGCCCTTATGAGCTATTGCGAATTTGTGGTCCCCAACACTGGTTCAAAGCAAGGCAGGATCAAATGTCTCCTTCCCTGCTCCCCTCAGAAAATGATGTCAGCCCCAACGACGTGCTGGACACTGGGCGTATGGAGACTGGGAGAAAGAATTCTGGCAGTAAAGCTGGCTCCCAGGTTAAGGAGCAGGCGATTCGGAAACTAGGAACTGAGGAGCGAGTTCTGAAGCTGGTCTGTGGTGGTCTGAACCTGTCGCTGCGGCTGGTGAAAGGTTGAGCGGCCAAGTGAGTGGGCTCCTGGTGGAGTAGGCAGTGTGTTGTAGCAGTTCCAGGCTCCTCAGGGCTTCTCCCCACCTGCAGTGCTTTCTTCCATGCTGTGACCCTACCTGACATGGCCCCTGGACCTCGGACCTCCCAGCCTTGAGAACCCAAAGCTACAAAAGTTTCTGTTTAGAACAAATCTCTCAGCCTGTAGTGTTCTTTTACAGTGGCATAAAACAAAGGAAGAGGCAATTTGGGCCCAAATTTTAAAGAGGAGCCAGGGAGGCACACTGGGTTGAAATGTTTCAAGGATGAATTGGGAGTAAGACTGGACCTGGAACTCAGTGCGTAAGGGTCTGTCAATGAGGACAGTTGATGATGTGGAGCAAACAGTCTTTGCTGCTAAAAACACCAGGAAAGAGATTACTTAGTATAAACTAGAATCACCTTAGCTTCAGGACTCTGGATGGATTTCTCTCAGAGCATGGTTAGAAATACCTCTGAATCCCAGCTTCCCTCCGGTGGAGGTCTACACAGTAGGGGAGGATTAAAGGGAGAGTAGATCCCTCTCCCATCATCCTAAGGGCAGTGTGAGCCATAGACTTTTTTGGAGTCTAGGAGAACCAACCTGTATAAAACACTGACATCCCCAATAGCCACACAGTGGATGCTTGAGAACGTAAGAGCCAATTTCATCTGTGTTTCGCCAGGTTAGCTGTGCCCAGGTTCCCAAGGCAAAGCTCTACATTTAAGGCAGAAAAGAGAAGCCTCAGAGAGCTACTGTCCTCCCCTGTGCACTCATAGTCAGATGACAAGAATGGTGGTGACCATCTCATGATGAGTGACCACCCAGAAGTCAACGTGTGTGCTTGGACAGCATCCAGGTGCCGCAGTTCTCTGACCCCAAAGACGGCTGCAGGTAGGGTGGGCCTCACTGAGGGAGCACACTGCACAGGGAGGTGACTGCACCAGGGGAACACCCAGCCCATGTGACTCTGCAGGCCACCTGGTCCTGGGCCACCAGGGAAGACGACAGTGCTGTCCTCCCTGCATGGCCACTTTGCATCCTATGCCTGCCTGTCTTCTGCTTCCTTTTCCTGCCTCACCCTCCCATGCTGAGGAGCCTCACAACCTGGAACTGTCTACAGAGGTCCCAGTGTCTGCTTCCTGACCACCCAGCAGTGTGGTAGAGGCACACACCTGAAGGGGTTGCGGCCTTCAGACATCACGTGTGAGTCTGAGCACCGTCCTGTGGTCTCTGGAGGCAGCAGCACTGCCGCTTTGCAGCCTTCCCTCCTTCCCTGAGCTCAGCTTCCTCACAGCACCCCATGTGTGAGAGGTGACACCAAAGCCACTGCTGCTCTCCCAGGCTCCACTGTTCAACCCTGGAGGTCCAGAGCCATGGAGGGGCTGAGGGTACAGTGGCGGGGATGGCTGAGAAGGTCCTCACCCTTGGGGGAACTGGAGGCAGAGACTAGAAGCTAGACTTGTCAAGTCTCCAGGGGAAAAGTAAAACTGGTTCCTCAGAGCCATAAAACATTTTTAATTTTTTATATTAGAAAAGCATTACTTTTTCCACAGATGTACACAGGGTGGAAAATTATAATTCCATTTTCACAATCCACCACCATTGCCACTACTTCCTCCGAGGGCCCTGCTGTATAAAGTTTATCGTGCATAATCCTAGATCTATTTTCATGCAATGGTGTGTGTGTATATGTGTAGACAATGTTTAGAGTTGTTCAAACTGGAAAGTGTTATTCCACAGCCTAGAAAGGACCTCTGGCCAAAACATCGATTCCTTTATTACAGTCTCTTACTGTCAAAGCATCACCCTCATGGGGCTTATCTGTGAGTGCAAAACACAGGACCCCTAAAATGGGTATGAACATGCAGATATTTTAAAAATGTTTTGAAAATGAGATTTTTAATAGATGGAAAGAAATTAACTTCATAGTAAAAACTGAAGTTTTAGGAGGATTTTCTGTGTCTAGTCCAGCACAGATGGAGCTTGGAAGTCATTACTTCCATCCTGACAGAAAGACAAAAGGCAGAAAAAGGCAAATCCACAACCAGCTATGGGAGAATGGAAGCCCAGGGCCTGTGGCTGCCCATGGCTGCCCATGGGGGCAGAGTGGAGAAGCTCAGCCAGCAGACCAAGGGTTGGGGTGCTCACTGTGCGGGGCTGTGCTGGGGGCTGGAGAACTTCGGGGCTCCTTGTTCATTTGCTGCAATCTTGAGGAGGAGGGGTCCTGGGGCTCCCAGAGGTGAGGCAGTCTTACCTCATGATAGAACTGTGGGGGACCGGCGGTGGCTGAAAAGATAAGAAGTATGAAATATAGATGACCTTTATTTTGAGAATGCGGGGAAAGACAACCTTGAGCCCCTGGGGCACAGCATTTCCCCCCGGGGTCAGCGATCTCTCCGTGAAACACGTGGAGTGGGGGCATATAAGTAGCCTAGGTTTGGGATGGAACCTAAGGGGCATTAGTGATGCACGGGTAGCCCATTGGTATGCTTTTGGCACTATAGGTAAATTCCTAGGGGTGGGGGAGATGGAGCTCCTTGGTTCCACCTGAGGCTTTTCCCAACTACAGTGTCCTGTCTGGGCCAAAACCCTTTCATATCCCATCTTATGATTATTATTATGAAAAGGGGCAAAGATTTCTCTCTTTACTGCTTCCTGCTGTAAAGGGGCCCTGTACTAGGGTCTAAGGGAGTCAATGGGATGATGGTTGATGCCCAGGTAGAAGCCGGTGCCAGGTGTTTTAGCCAGGACAACTTCACTAGTGAATGCATGTATGTTAGACTGGAAAAATAAAGAGACAAGATGTTATGAGGAGGCATGGCACTGTCATATTTAAGGACCCAGGTGAGGTAGAAGGAAAGGTGCTTTTGATTTAGATATGTCATTATATCAGGACCATGTGGAGGTAGAAATATATCCACAGTAAGGCAGAATTCTGAAAAATAAATGTGGGGTTAGGAGGAGTGAAGTTATGAGAGGTGATTACTCCCCCATCTGAAAGGGTAAAAGTTAAGATGGTAGGTAGGTAAGGCTTGTCTCTGGTATGCATGATGTTGGAGTCTTTAGGAAATACTGTTAAGAGTCCTGCTGTAAAAAGAACAAGAAATTAGAAACCAAATTGAATAATAAAACATGACAGCCTGAGAGTTGTGGCTTTGGGGCCTTGGTAAGGCAGAGATGAGTAGGCAAAAGGATGGTGAGATCTAGGGCTGGCTGGAAGGGCACCACTTAGCCTGAGTGATGTGAAACCAGGATGGCAGTCTAGCAACTTTTGATCACTGTTGATGTTGCCAAGAATATTGGGTATGGGTTGCTGTAACCTGGTTGTAGTCCTTGGAATGATTTGCTATAACAGGACTTTAGTAAGTATATCAGCAGTCTCCCTGGTTGTGTGAAAGGTTTTTATGTATCCTGAAAAAGTATAAACAAAGTGAGAAGACAAAATTTATCTGTCAGTCTTGACCAGGGTTGTCTGAGAAACTGATGAATAAGAAAGGAAGGGAGTGTTCTAATATCATTGAGGAGAGGTTTACTAGCAATACCAGGTGTAAGCTGTTGAGACCTCAGTGTCTGGGTCAATCTGTATAAATACACAGGAATAAAAAGCATTTTTAAGATTTAGGACTGTAGAGTGAGTGGTGGAGGGAAGATTTGGCACCACTGGGTGGATTGGGAAGAAGCATGAACCTGCACAAAATAGGCCCTGTTTGTAAATGGCATAGGTTGACCTTTAATACCTCCTAGAGATGGAGGACTTACTATAGCAGCCTGAAAACTCAGGAAGAACTCTGTATATATGGCCTCTATGTCCACAAGCATAGAGAATGTCTTACCTGAGAATTTTAGTGGGACTTGGACTCTGAGACAGACACCTTAAAGTGGGCTGCTGTTGGCCCTGAGCCCCGTCAGTCTTTAGCAGCAAGTTTAAGCAGATCCATCAGGGATGAATCTGGCAGTGTTGGCCTTTCCTGTGAGGGCTAGAAGTTAGGATGGCTTACCCACTCTCTGGTGGCTAGGACAGTCCAGTAGCCCTGGAATCAGGTCTCAAAGAACACCAGGATGGGGCACTCTCTTGCCCATTGTCTTCTGCTGCATTTGAGGCATGGTCCATGGGGGGGGGGCAGCTCCACCTTGTGTCAGTTTACCTGTCTCAGAACTCCAAGTATTACAAGTGTTATTGTTATCTCTGCCGTTGAAAACATGAAAAGCCATATTAAGGTCTCTATGAGATTTGAAGGTCAAGTTTTGCCTTTTTGTTTGGGATTTGGACTACAGTAGAAGGTCTCTGTAGAAGTAAGTAAGTATGCAGGAGTCAAATATAATCAACAAGGTATTTATAATTTTAGTAATGACTTCCCATAAGGAGGACAGGTCCAGAGAATTTTAGGAACTGGCATGTTATTTATGTCATATATATAAGTATCTCTTTATGTTGTTAAAATGTCTAATGCCTTCTACATCTGCTTTTTAGAGGATGGCCTGTTTAATTAATTTTTACCTTTTTATTTAGGAGAGAAATCAGCTATGATGTTATTTAATATCAGTTGAATATAGTTAATTATGGCTCGGTGGAGGTCTGAGCCAGGGCTTTTAATTTTAGTTGTTAACCAGGAGATCGGTGACAATACAGTATAATATAGGCAGTAAGCTTAACACAGAACACCACTGGTGGTTTATAGCAAAAGGAATTCATAAATACCTCTTAATTTTAGTTGTTAAACAGGAGACTATTGAAGGCTTTGATTGATAAATAAGGCTGGTAAAATTACCAGGTGGCCACTTTCCCATTTATCAGCCAAAGTCTTGTCTATTGCTGGCTTATTTAACCTTGATTAAATGGTTTGAGAATGTAAAAAAAATAGTATCTCTGAGCTGAGCCACCAAGCTGCTGTCTATCTGTGCCTGTGTTTAACGAGGTGCTTGTGTTTGGGAGACGCTCAGCACCTAAGGCAGGACAGAACTCTGAGACAAATGCCCCAGGGTGGGGGCATTTGTCATGGCTGGAACACACACACACACAAAAGGCAGCAGAAGCAATCGAATTTTATATCTGAAAACACGAATACAGCATCAGATCAGCAATGTAATGAGTTGTCTGTTGTACCTGTCTGCCCCAGCAGACAGAGCTATGCTTGAGCTTCAGGGTGGGAACTGGTCTGGCATGTGTGCAGGGCGGTGCACACAGAGTGAAGGTGGGGTGAGTGCTGGGACATAGCGCACTGGGTGGGCTGGGTCTGCCCCGGGAAAAGTGCGCAAGGCGGAGGCAGTATAAGCCAAGTGTGCTGCTGCCAGCTGCAGCGGTGGTGGCACATGGGTGGTGGCAGCACACAGGGGGTGGGCTGGGAGGCGGAGTTGGGACTTGGCCAGGACCTTACATGATGCGTGACCCTGTGCATGGGGCTGAGCCGCCACATGGAGCTGGAACTGCTCACGGGGCATGCAGATTAGGGTGCAGCATTAGAGCCCAACCCCACGTGGACCTGGAATGCCGCATGAGAGCCAAGATACCATGCAGAGCTGGGGCACAGCGTGAAAGCTTAAAGCAGCCCCGCGCCTATCTCTCAACATTGTTTGGGCTTGTTTTTCCCATCTAGGTGAGGAATGGGTTGGCATGTGGCAGGTGGAGGGGGGGAGCAGGGAGGAAAGGAGACACTGAGAAAGCTCTTAAAGGCTGCAAGGAAAGACACTATTATCTCTTTAAGTGTGGGGAGGGGGAGGGATCCTGGAGGATTGGGAAAGGATGCACATTCCCAAAACAAAGGCTTAAAGATAGAGAGTTTTGTAAACTTGTCATCAGTATGATAAGCCATAGATAGGTATGGGTTTTTGGGTGGGGGCAGGAAGCAGTCCCCAAGATAAAATCTGGTGTGGGGTCTGACCCACAGAGTTATGAGGCAATAGACTGTGGTCTGCTAAGTGTAAGTCGTCACTTTTTACTTATAGATCAATTGGTATTATATAGTTCCAAAGCTTTGTAATAATTGGCCGTCATCAATATATGAGTGGATTTCATGTGGGTTTAGTAACAGCTCTGCCCGTGAGAACTTAAAAAGCTCTGATGGAAGTGAGAATCTCTCAGTGTGGACACAGGCTGCCCAGGAAAACTCTGCCTTGGGCTATCTGAACCCAAAGAACGTGAGAGTCTCCCGGTGTGGACACAGGTTGGCCCAGAAAGACTCTGCCTTGGGCTATCTAAGGACCTGAGAGTGTCATGCGAACCCACGGAAAGGGGACGAAAATCCGCCTGGGGCCTGGCCCTGTGGCAATCTCCGGGGGGTTGCTCACCTGTGGTAAATTGGGTCGGTGTTGTTTGCGAACTGGCAGTGACAAGTTTACAGCTCCCGAGTGTAGAAGTGAGGAATTAATGAAGAATATAGTCCGTTCCTGGTCCTGAATGGCAGGGGACTCAAACTGGGAAAGCCCAAGGAATCTCTCGTGTGCCATTCCCAGTCAGGGAACCATATGATAGAACTGTGGAGGACCAGTGGCAGCTGAAAAGATAAGAAGTATGAAATATAAGTGACCTTTATTTTGAGAATGCAGGGAGAGACATCCCCGATCCCCTGGGGTGCGGCATCTCCCCCCGGGGTCGGCGATCTCTCCATGGAACACATGGAGTGGGGGCATATAAGTAGCCTAGGTTTGGGGTGGAACCTAAGGGGCATTAGTGATGCACAGGTAGCCCAATGGTATTTTTTTGATGCCATAGGTAAATTCCTAGTGGTGGGGGAGATGGAGCTCCTTGGTTCTGCCTGAGGCTTTTCCTGGCTACAGTGTCCTGTCTGGGCCAAAACTCTTTCACCTCAAATCCCTGCGAGCTCTCGCAGTGAAGAGTGAGGAAAGGTTCCTCAGCTTCCATCACACAGAATAGGAGGCAGTAGCTCCATACATTTCAAGGGTCTCGTCGTCAGCAGGGACTCCTCATCCTCATGGGCAGTGGCTGTCACACGTGTGACTCCCTAGGCCTTCCAGGGAGCTGCAGACAGCCCAGCAGTGGGCCAGCCCGACTCTGGCCTCTCCAGCCTATCCATCACACAGGAAGACACTTGTGGGGGCTGAGTCACCACCCAGAGCTTGGTCACTAAAGACCCGAGCCCTCCTCACAACAGTGCCCCTCACACCACCACCACACCAGTAGAAGCCACAAGTACCCAGAGTGATACACCCAGAAAGGGCTCCTCTCAGCCCCCACTTAGGAAACTCGTGAAAAACTCAGTGAAAATGGAGGACACAAAAGCAAGAAAACCATGGGGAAATTCTAGCCTCTGCAGTCTGCAGCTATAATAAACAATAAACAGGGCTGAAGTCTAAGGCAGAACTGTAAAATAGCACATTAAACCTTCAGTACCTCAAGTTCTTTGACCCTGGACATCACATCTCATTGTCTAGGAAAAATGACCAGGCATACTAAAAGATGAAAACACAGTGGGGAAAACAGAGCTACCACCAGACTCACACATGATGTCTTAAGGCCAGACACAGAACTTCAAGTAACTGTGACTCAGATGGTAAGGGCTCTCACAGAAGAAGCAACAATGTACAAAAATGGAAAGGTAATTTAGGCAGAGGTGAAAACTCTAAAAGAAAATCTAAAGTGTCCCTATTGTCTGGTTTTGGTCAGTTCTGTACTATTTTGTTTTGTATGAATTTATTGTGTGTGGAGACATGGACAACTATCTAGAAGAAAACAATAGACAATATGATAGCTAGTGAAGATCTTCTGTTGTCTTGCTTTGAAATCTGTGCCACTTGCATTGTTTTCTGATTTGTTTTGTTCTGTTTTGTTATGTTTAGTTTTACTCTCTTTAAAATTAAGTTAAATTAAAAAAAGAAAATCAAAAGTAAATGCTAGAAGCCCAAATTATAAATAAGGGGCAAAATAAAGAATAGGTGACAGGAAGTAGGGAGATGGGTATTTCTCAAGTAGGGAGGGAATCAGGAGATGGGGGAGGTAAGGGAATGAAAAAGGAATTAAGATGCGTCCTGTGCATTAAGTCCACACAAGAAAGGCTAACACTATGCACTGTAAATGTACACTAACAAGAAAATTTCAAAAAAGAAATTTAAGTGAATGCATATGAATATCATTAGAACAAGCATAGCTGAAGGAAACAAACCAGTGAGCTTAAAGATTCTGTCAAGTGAGGGCTCCAGAACTGAAGGGGCCCATGTGGAGAAGGATAACAAAGATAACACAGCTCCCCACCCCCAGAGGGCTGGGGTAATTACCAGGGTGCCACAGTAATGCAAGATCTCTGGCATTGGGGTGGGGTGGAGGTGCCCACCCGAATACTTGGTATTTTTTCAGTGAATTGTTTTGCAAACTAAAACCGCTCAAACTAAAAGCCTATTCATTAAAAAGGCAGAGGCAAGGCTCTGAAAGTGTCAGATACAAAACAAATATGGTGATAAATGAGATAATTTTTTGACTGAGATAATAACTGTGAGAGTCTTTAAAATACCATTGTGAACCCAATATCTAAAAATAACAGTGCATGCAGCATCAGAGAGTCCAAGCATTGTCAGTGCTACTGAGATTTAATGGGTATATTTTGACATTTGTATCCTAGAAATCTCATCAGTGATTTGTGTACTATTTACACATATTACTGGGATACTGGACACAAAGCTAATTGCAACATGCTTCCCAAGTTATAAAATTATAGGCTATGTTGCCGGATGCAGTGGCACATGCCTGTAATCTCAGTACTGGGAAGGATGAGGCAGGAGGATTGTCATGAGCTCAAGGCCAGCCTGGACTGCATAGTGAGAGTCTCAAAAAATCAAAAACATATTATAGACTATGTTGCATAATTATAATAAAAAATAGAGACTTATAACAAAAGTTAAAACTCCCAAATTAATTCCAATAATTTCAAAATTTTAAACACAGGTCATTTAAAGAATTTACTGTGTTATGTGTTTCCAAGGATCGAACCCAGAACCTCAGCAAGCTAAGCATGCTTTCTACCGCTGAGCCCACTGGGCTGAGCAGGGGTTCCCTGGAAACGTGTGGGCAGCCGCTCTGCAGATGGTGGTATGGAGCATGCACACAACCACATTCCTCAGCTACACAATGGCAATGTGCTCCCCTGGCTAGTGAGGAGGGTGTTGCAGAACGGAGCTCCAAAGACATTTAGGGGCATTGCTGTCAAGGAGGAATCAAAGCACAGTGTCCTGGCATGGGACAGAACAACGCATGTTCTTTGCATGGTGGTCAGTGGCCTCACAGGCTCAGCATGCCTGTCACACAGTCAGATGCACATGGGACAGAAGAAGACGCAGTGCAGGAAGAAACGGGGCTCAGGCTGCCGACACAGAGGGAGCTGGGGGATGGCGGTGTGGATGGTCTTACCCAGACAGCACCGAAGGCTTCCTTGGGAAGCCGGAGAGGCTCCTGTCCAGACAGCACTTCAGCCCAGCTGCCGATGACCCCAGCAGTGCAAAGAAGGTCGGGAAGGCGATGTGCAGATGCTGGGTGGCAGTTGGTATAAAGGCAGAGGGGCCTGGCAGGAGCACAACAGACCAGGCCAGGAGCCCTGAGACCCATGACCTGGACATGCACCTCCCACAGAGTCAGACACAGCCTGGGAGCCAGGTTCTGTAGGATCTTGGCCTAGACTGGCCTCTCCCAGACTCGGAAGTGGCTCCGGGCTCCAGAGCTGCTCTACCCAGGCAGGAGGTGTGGGAAGATGGCTCTGTGCAGGGCAGTTCCATGGTTCGGTACTGAGGAGACCAGATCATCTCAGGGATGCACTGAGCAAGGCCTGGAGATGTAAAGAGAGGAGTGACCGGTGATGGACAGAGGAGAAAGGAGCTGGCTTCTTGCCTCCCTGTCTTTTTCCATCTCTTGGGTCTTCTCCAGCAATTCCTTTGCCAGATGTAGCCCCAGAGTAGAAAAAGCAGCATTTCAGCCACAGTTCTGAAAAGTGTTCTTTCGTGCAGCCAACCCTGAGAGGAGAGTGCCAGGGCTTTGCTGCCCAAAGAGGAGCTGACTGGGAGCCAGTATGTGCTGGGTTTGCTCAGTGGGAGTGTTGGTGAAAGGAAGAGAAAGAAAATTCACACCAGTGAAGCAACACCAGACAAAAGCACTTGCAGGGAGGAATTGCAACACTGAGCACACTCCCTGTTGTCCAGGAAAAGCCTCAGGGAGCACAAAATGTGAGGACTGAAGCAAAAGCTTCAAATATTCCAACTGACCCTTTCCCTGAGGCCCAGGATGTCCTGTTCTCCTCTCGGCAGCAGCCGCCCCCACACACAAAGGCCCAAGGATGCTGGGAAGAGAAAACAGAGGCGCCTTTGTCCAAGTTCACTGTGTCTTTCGTCTCTTCCAAAGCCTTTGGCCAATAGTGTGTGTCGGGCTTATTCGAAATTAGCCAGGCAACGGAGTGAAAGGAGGCTTTGCTGGGTAGACCGGGCTTCAGACACCCAGAGGCCCCCACTCATTTAAAGGCTGCTACAAATGCTGAGAGCAAAAACCTCCACTGACAATCACTTTAATATAATTTCTTTTTTATTTTAAAGAGAAAAAAATAAAAGATTTTCAAAGCAGCCTAGTAAAGAGTAACAATAATTAATATGTTGTGTATTGTTGTCCTCATAATCGTTACCCTGTGTACAAGATGCAGGCATGGAGTGTTATCCAGACGATAAAGAAAGTGTGGGCCCAGCATTCTCTCAGTGCATGGGTCCCGAGACCCACGCAGGTGGGGTCAGAACTGCGTGAGGAAGGAAGAGTGGCTCCGCAGCCTGCTGAGCCCATTCTGCTGATGCCGGTGTAGGAAGCAGACTGGAGGCAGCATGTCACACAGCTTCAGGAACGTCTGTCTCTGTCTAGTTGGGTGCTGGCGCTGTCCTGCTGGTGCCTCCAGTGAACACAGAAGAGCTTGGACTGCTGGGGCGACTCGGGGCAGGAGAAGCCTCCGAAGTGGCATGAAATGGTTCAGAGGCTCCCAGGAAAGACACCAACCTGGGTCAGGGGATCAGCATGAACAAAGAGTACCAGATGCCCCTCCTGAAATGCTCAGTGGCTTCCAGAGTCCTCTGACGGGAGGCACTCGTGCACATCCTATGCTCCCTCCTAGGAAAAGCGCATCAAGAATAAACTATTGCCTGTGACATAGAACTAGTCCCATTTTGCGTGGCAGTACTATAGGGTGCCAATCACTGAGACCAGGAGTCTAGAAAAGAGCTGACCAAGTGTGGAGGCCAGAGAGCCACGTCCCAGATCCCTACCTCAGGGTCAGGGATGGGCAATGTGCCTGGCGGTGCCACAGCATGGCCTGCATGTGTGTAGTCAATCCCCATGGGTTCTCAGGGGATGAGTGTCCAGGAAGTGGTGGTCTGAGGGAAGGGCTGTGGTCCCTGATATCCAGGCCACCTATGGGACACCACACAGGACCCAGTGAAGACTCAGCTGTGATAAAAGCAGCCTTTGTGTCCCTGGAAGGAACCTGGACAGCAACACCATAGTGACCACGGGCAGAAGGGCACCCACAGCAGGGCCAGCGACAATGGTAATGGTCCTGTCGTCCGGCTGTGACCTTCTGAGCAGAGGTCAGCGGAGGTGCGGTTGAAGCCCTGCTGGCCTTTCCCTGGGCTTCACCAGTGTAGTTCGCTAGGACCAAATAGGACTGCAAAACCTATTCTCAAAGCAAACATGAGAAAACACAGGAGCGGCTGCTTCTGCCCATACTGTCCCCACGCCGTGCCCCTGTCTGCCCCTCTGAGGGACTCATGGTATCTTTCTCTTTGTGTGCTCTGCAGTGAGGGTTCAGGAGAAAAGAGAGCGCTCACCCCCACGCTGTGGCCACTTAAAGGGTGGCACTGGAGGCCAGACTGAGGCTCAGTCCCTTCCTGTCCCTTCTTGCAGAATATGCCCCTGCGCCCCTCTGGAAGTCCCCCAGACCTGGAAGGGCGCCCGAGCTTCAAGTCAGTTCTTTTCTGGACCCTCCATGTCTGTCAGTGTTCAGAATGGTTTTGAGGGCTTTGAAGTTCCTGTGTTGTCAAAACCCACATCAGAATCAGCTCGTTTTAAACCTTGAATAGAGAAGAAAATGAAGCAGAACCCACAAAACAGGAGTGGTAGGATCGTGTCTTCTCACCATGACCAGTCAACTCTGAGAAGCAGAGGAAAGCGAGCTGGGGAGATGTAGCGGGTGAGGGAAGGCAGGAGGCCTTCTGCGCCAGTGAGAGGAGCTCTTCTCACGGTCAGAGAGGGGCAGCAGCTTCTGGAGGAGCTGGAGCTGTCTCCTGCAGAGGGGTTGCAAGCCTGGACGGGGCCAGGAAGATCTCCACACTGGAGCTAAAACCCAGCTGGGAGGACACGGCTTGGAGGCCTGCATTATGAAGGATTCATCTTGGGTCAGCCAGGCCACTCCAAGGGGGTCTAGTGAACCCTCCCCTGAGGACAAGCTCTCAGGTATCAGGACCTGGTGATCAGTGATGTGACCACATTCCTGGATGGCACGGGTGGGGAGACCCTGAGTTACCTTACAAATATGACCTGCACAGCCTGTGATTCGGACAAGGACTTTGATGGAGATGGCACTGATGAAACACAGCTTTTATGGTTGTGGTGTTAAGCATCACTGCTAATGATGAGGCTGATGAAGCCCCGAGCTGGGGCACCAGCAGGGTCCCAGGCCAGCTGCAGCCCTCAGCTGCAGGGTCCCGAGTGGATGCTTGCTGTCCTGACATGCCTCCTGAGATGAGTCCCTAAGGAACAATGGGAAGCACTGGTGGATACAAATAATTAAAGGGACATAATTAGAAGTCTGCGGGGAGCAATCTGTCTGGATCAGTGTAGAGGAGTCAGAGTGAGTGCTGTTCTCCACAATCAGGGGGTCCCATTCCTGCTCCGTCACCCACACTGGCTGTTTTCTCTTGGATTTACAAACTGAGAAGCTGCAGAAGAGTCACGTGGTAGGGTGGCTACTGGAGCTGCTGATGTCTTTGGAGGATTAGTTTTTAAAAACTCCCCTCTGATTGATTCTCCTCTTTGACGGAAAGGAAGGCGCCCCCTCTTTGGGTACGGACAAGTGTAACTTAGTTTTAGAGTCGGCTATAACATAGAGACCTTCTATAGCAGGACACGAAATTCCTAGACCCTTATGGGTTGATTTGGATGGTTATTCCCTGAGGTGAATTAAAGCCCGCCCATGCAGGCTCTAGTCTTGTTACAAATGCTCCATTCACTATTTATAGATCCCCTGCCAGGATGGCCCCTGAGCCTTCTTCCCTGACAGGAGCAGGGGCTGCTTGAGGATAGCTATCTCCTTAATGTGATACTACTGAAGCATTCTATACAAACCCAAGGTGGTGGTAGGGAATCTTTCAAGTCCTCCAAATTCTGGTCCTGTGCTCCCCATTACGTAGCCTGGTGTCACAATAAAAGGCATGGTATCATTTCAGCAGAAACAGGTACAAGTATGTAGCAAAAGAAGCTTCTCCTCAGAAGACCAGACACTCCTTTCCTTTGGAAGACATGGAGGTAGCCATTTGGCATATTTGGGACCAGGCCTCAGACTTCTCATCTCTGAAGCAGGATGATAGCGTGTCTGCACTGTACGGTAATGCAGTGGTAGCAGGGGAGACACAAAGTACCCAGGCTGTGTCTGCCAAACAAAGCACTCAGTTATGTGCAGCCCTTTCTTCCTGTTCTGTTTCCAAGATGCCCATCATCCCCCAGTGAAGCAGGCCTCATAGGGGCTCTGTGTCAGTCTCCCTACCACAAGGCCACTAGGATAGATGGAAAATGCCCCCTGAAGGCCTCCTGCACTCATGGATGGGCCAGTTGAAAGAGGGCTGGACCATGAGGGTGGTGCTTGTGGTCAGAAGAGGCAGTCCCTGGGGCTGCAGTCTGGAAGGGTTCATCTCCCTCTCACTCTTCTCTTCTGCTCTGCTTCCTGAAGCTGTGATATGGGCAGTTTTCCTCCACCATGACCCTCTCCCAGCAAGTTTCCTGCCTTGGAGCCGGATGACCAGTGACTAAACTGAGCCCAGATCAACCCCTCCTCTAACGTGTGGCTACCTAGTACTGTGTCTTAGTGGTAAGAAAAGTGACTAAGACAGGCTTTGCTAGCAGAACTGTGGGGTTGCTGCTGTGAATACATCTAACCATGTGGTTCACAAGCCCTCAACTATTGTAATCCAGGCTTGATGGAGATTCTGGTTGGAGCCAGAAGACCAGAAGGTCTATAGATATGCACATTATAAGGAACAGGATCAGAAAGCTTGTGTTTTGAACGTTTATAGAAACTGAGATTAAGGGTGGCAGACAAACTGATCTGGAAAAGGAGATTTCAAGGCAGCCTAGGGTTCAGACCGTACCATGGCACTGCTTGCTGCTTTTAGTGAGATCAGCGGTGAGAAGCGACAGCAGAGAAGCAAACTGAAAATCTGAAAAATGTTACTCGAGGCCAGGAAGAAGGTGCCTGGAAAATTGAGGTGAGTAAAATGTTGGCCCAGGCAGTTTTGTGGCTGAAAATGTCAGCATTAGAAAGAAGCCAAGCACTTTTCTTTGGGACAATAGGAAGAATGCTTCGAAGGCATCTCAGGAAAGAGCAGGAACTTGGCCCTCCCCTTACAGAAGTGAAGGTCTTCTTCAGCAGGGAACTGCGGACACGCTCTTGTTTCTGGGACAAAGCGGGAACTGCTTCGCAGAGTTCAGCCATGCAGCCACTCAGACACTTTCAGAGCCATGATCCAAAGGGTA